TCGAGCCGTGTTGGCGTGTGCGTTTCTCCGTTACGCGCGTGTCTGGGTAAGCTGCTGCGTGTGCGTGTGCGTGTGCGTGTGCGTGTGGTGTGCGTGTAGCGTTTTCGCGGGAGATTATTTTTAGATAAAGTTAGTTTATGACAGCGGAGCGTATGGTGTCCGGTAAGTGTTTGTTAATTTAAATTATATTTATTAATTGTATTTATTATTATGTTATATTATATTTATTTTTGTTTTCTATTCTAAATCTTAACCTCTGTTGCATATATATATACACACTCTTGTGTAATAAACCACAGTATATATGTTACAGTAACATACATGTTTGCGATCTTGTTACATGAACCATGCATGTCCATGCTGCGAATAGTTGATAATATAGAGAATGTCAGTTAACATTAGCATGACTTGAAAGTTTTTTTTTCATCGCCAAAACTCCACAATAAAAACCTTGCTGTCATTCGTGTGTCTGTTGCAGTAACTGTAGGTATTTATTGTAAACTACTACTGTGGATTATTCGTATCAATTTTTCTGATAGCTCACGCACGCACACTATGCTAAGAAATAAGGCAGGCGCAGCGCTGGCCAGTATTAAAATATAGCGGTGACCTGTTATAATATATACACTTATACACTCTTATATATGGCTTAGTTAGTGAACACAACACCGGACGATTATTATATATTATAGTCGGTAGGTGTAGATGATGGTGGTGTTTTCCAACAGTAGAGGGCGTCCATAAGCGGCAGGCCTAAATAAGCAGCACACAGAAAATAATTAAAAATACGTAAACAGTTGCTATCAACACGCAACATGCATTTTATTCATGCAAAATCACTGCACATTAACCGTACATTCTTTACTCGAAACTTTTGCAGCTCTATGATGCGAAATTCCACCATGTTTGTCGGAAAACCGATTGAAATTTCAATCCCTTCCAGGCGTCTATTCGGCATCCATCTCGCGTGTGCATTGCACATTTCTGCAATCTAATGACGAAATTTGCCACGAAAAATTCGAGAAAACCGCTCTTTTGTACGAGAAATGGGGAAGACGGAGGCCGTGGAAGATAGACATTCAATATGAATTTGCTCGTAAAAATACCTCTCTACTTTACTGCTATAGGTTCGGCAGGATTATTTGGCAGATATAGTGCGGCAGTGGCTGAGAGGTATGGAAAGCCATTCCCTACAAAAATTATTTTCAAAAATTTTAATGAATTTATAATCATAATTTATTAATTTAAATTTTTTTAAATTGATTTAAAATTGCGTATATGAAATGTTTGAAAATGATTTTGAAGGGGATGGCTTTCTATTAAGAGGGCATATAGTTTGTATTTTACACTAAGGTATCTCATTCAAGTGACGCATGACTGCTGAGCTGCGTCACTCTCCAACTTTACTGCTCCTCGTGGATATAGCTTGGAACCCCGGGCATGTCTGCAGGTATGCCAGGAATAGTGCTCCATCGCATCTGTATGAACACGGCGTACAGAATACACTATGCTTAACCCAGTGGAAAATATCGTAGCATTCTACTGAATAATGATTTAATGTTATATGGTATATCCAATTGTATTTACCTGTTAAACGAACATGATTTAAACCACAAGACATTATCATGAAACTAAAATTACCTTATATTGTCATAACGGTCGCAGAAACCTAATCCAGGATGGTTATGTGTTACAGCCCCCAACACCAAAACGTTTTATTTCTGTTCAGATTGTTGTAACATATTTGTCCTTAATGCGTTCTGCTGCCACACGTTCTGCGTATCTGTCTATCAACCATATGAGGTTTGCTTTTGTTTTAGGGGTTCGTGCCCGGCCAACTTGCTCGCTTTCCGCCGCGTTTACTGTCGTCTATTCGTGCCGTCAATCTTATCTCGCCTCATTACACACTGACTTACTGCTTCGTTAAAATGAGGAATTCTGACTGTTTAATTAACACTCGTGCGGTAATGGAAAACGCTTCGAAAACTGCCGGACGGTGCGCGAATGTGTACACTCTCTCTGGCGTGCGGGCCTTGTCTCCACGAAATGGCAAATGAGCCGCAAAACACGTGAATGGGTGAGAGTTTAGATGAGAAATGCAGTAACAACAAATTATAAACACGCCCGGCGTGTCGCGAATGCCACCCAGTCCGCCTACATACAATTCTTGCTCGCACACTCTATTGCTCGCTCGGTCGCGCCTTTTTTTTGAATGGTCCTATATTATGAGTGTATTTTGAGTAGCCATAGAGAGGCTTTCTGCGCATGCGCCTCTCCCCACCGTGATAGGACTGTCAAGAGACGGCAAATATGTCATCTGTCATGATGATGTTGGTGCGAATATAGCTGTTCAAGCTAAAATCATCTTTGAAATAGGAAGAGTTGACTTTTGCACCAAAACCTTTATTTCTATGAATTAATAGTAGATAAAAAATATGAATGAATGAAAAAGATATGAAAGAATGATATGAAAGAATGATATGAAAGAATGATAAGAAAGAAAGATATGAAAGAAAAAGAATGAAAGAATGAAAAAGATATGGTTGAATAGCGCAAATAGTGGTCATTGTGGTATTGATGATGATGATGACGACGACGACGACGACGACGACGATGAGGCCGCGGCCATTTTATACTACTACAAGACATTTACACGCCCATTTAACTTCCCGTTTCATAAACAACGCGCGATTTCTCATCATCCTCAGTAATACGAACCTTAAGAACGCTACAATTCCGTCTCTATCACACTAGAATCTATCAAAGTAGATCTCGAGGATTACGTAACAACTGAAATACGAGATCTACTTACACATTAAGTGTATACACGGCTATTTTTCGATAATGAAGTCAGGTCGAGTTATACAGCTAGGGCGTTAAAAATACGAATAGACAAAAAACGGCACTGAGGGGCACGGTTTGCACTGGAAAATCGGTCATCATGAGAATACTAGTGTCAATATATATATATATATATCAGGAGTAGATAATAGGGAATATAGATGTAAAAATAGATATAAATGGGAATATAGATTCCCTATTATCTATTCCTGATATATATATATATATATTGTCGGCAAAGGTCGGTGGTTGAATAGTGTGGTGAACATCATTACGTGGCTGTAAAATCTGGAATGTCCTAAACTTGAGCTGCTTGTGTCACTGCGCCTTAGAATGTACTAGCGTGCAAGGAACTGATGTTCCCCATACATGGTCAGGATTAGAGCACAATTCTTAAAAAAAAAAATCTGAAGGAACCCGTTGCGATAAGCGTATTAACTGTCTCGTGTTCGCCAGTGTCTGTTGATTAAATAGATTTTGTAGTATTACACGCAAGTTTTTATAGTAACAACGTTTCTATTATACAAAGATAATCGGCTACAATCACACGAGAATAATCTAAACACGTGTGTGTGTGTGTGTGTGTGTGTGTGTGTGTGTGTGTGTGTGTGCGTGTGCGTGTGCGTGTGCGTGTGCGTGTG